ACACACACACACACACACACACACACACACACACACCATCTCACCTATAAGCCCTCGCAGTGCCCCAAAGCGTCTCATACAAAGGCCTCCACAACTCCAAGTCCAGAACTCCAAAACCGCTCGAGTTAGCGGACATCTCGGCTGAGATCTCACCGGTCAGTTTCGCCACATGAGCTGTTATGTTGGCCAGCTATATATAACAACCATAACAGGACACACAAAGTTTATCAATTGATTCAGATAGTTAGGATCACAAGACTTCGAATTTTTTTTTAAAATGTATTTTTAAAAAATTAGCAGTCACAAATCGTCGATGACCAACTCTATGTGTATGTGTAATCATTAAAACATTGAAAGTACACCCCCCCCCCCCCTCTTTCAGGACATTCGAGATTTTTCGCCCTTGCCCGAAAAGGCTAAGTGACAGTGTAGATCTTTCCTACCAGAAGATCAGGGGTACGGCTGAAAGACAACAGTAAGAAGGAGCTAAGGAGAAGCAGTAGAAAGGCTGCAGAAAGAGTCAGGAGCCCGGAGGAGGGGGCAACGGAGGTGAGGAGGTGGGGAAAGAGAGTGGAGACGAAAGCAGACGACAGAACAGAGATGGGAAAGGAGGTGAAAGGAGAAAATTTTAGAGAAGGACAGTTCCGTCGCTATACGGATTCGAACCCGGGACCCATTGAATGAGAGGCGAACGTCTTAACCTCTAGGACACGAGCGTCCCCCAATAAAAACTATAACCTGGATACCATGGAACAAAACTTACCTGAGGGAGGCCACCGTTAACGGGCTGGGATTCGTTATTGCCCCTCAGATATGGCCATAGACCGTACTCGTTGTAAAAAGTTGACACCTGGTCACCATGGAAACTGTTGTTTGTATTTGCGTCGATACCATAGTCGTGTAGCCGGAAGCTGTAGTTGAAGCGACTACAAGGGGTATCGTAGAAGCTCCACGCAATGCGGAACTCTTTGTCCTGGGAAGGAAAGGAAACTGAGCAATGTTAGGGTGCCGCTGAAACAGAAACTACTGGACGAATCCCAGCATGATATAGAAATATATAGAGTTCGTTTGTCGATTTTGTGTTTGTGTGTGTGTGTGTGTGTGTGTGTG